GTGGTTAGCTATTCTTTTAGTCTAAATATTGCCAGATGACTGAGCAAGTTCTTTGAGCTTCTTCCCAACATGCCTCTTGTGTGTATGTGTCGTGTCTGGCAAAAACTGTAATGTCCACTGAGAGAAAGAAGACATGGAGCAGATGCTCAACTGCATTTCTTTCCCTGCTTGACTGCAGTGACTGCTCTGAGGAATAAACAATCCACTCAGTAAAACAAACTGCTGCAAATGCTCACTATGGGCTCTATCATTTGATTATTACCTTGTTTATACTCTTTTCCTAAACAGGTTTATTCAAATTCCCCTACCAATCTATACCCTCCTGAATTTTTATCAGCTGTATCTCTTCCCTCCAGGCAGAGCCCACACTTCCTTTTTGCTACAAGACTTTTTTATCTACACGTAGGATTGGATTTTGTGTTTGATTTTGTAAGGTACTTATTCTTGGAATTAGTTCCTGCTTTTTTATTAAGGGATGGCATGTTCTATAAAGTATTCCATCTCTAAATCAGACAGTGAGAGAAAAAAAACGCGATGTCTCCCATTTTCAGATTTGAAAGAGCAGCTGATGTCAGAAAGGAAGATAAAAAATTTGACCTTATAACAATCTGGTTCATGATGATGCTGCCTTTTACTCTCAATGTCCAATTTATCTCAGAGCACATGCAGGGTGAAGACTGCAAAGTAAGACTAATGGGTATGGCAGAAACATGTGCAGTAATTCATCATCATAACAAAGCATAGCACAATTATCAAGAATTTCCTGTAGACTTGCCATGATTACATGGAAACAAATTGTTTCGTCTGCTCAGCTAGAAGTGCAAGAATACTGAACCAAAAACCAGAAAGGGATTGTTGCCACCTATATACACAAATTATCCTTTTAGGAAATGACAAATGTACAATTTGGCTTTCTTTTTGGGTTTGTACACTGAAATAGTATTCATTCAGTGCCTGGCCAAATGGGTCTCTATGTTCTGCAGCAGGACACATCACAAAAAACAGGAAGAAGAGGCAGCTGGCTGCAGGGTTTGAGGAGTTAATGGATGTAATCACAATATCTTTTTCCTGCTTTCCAAAGATTTTATTGCAGCAAAAATTTCAAGTAGAACAAAGGAAGGGAAACCTTTAATTAGTTGGAATTTACTTATTAAAAAAAACCAAAACAACTTGTCTCTGCTTGGCACATCTTCCTGAGAAAAGACTAACATCAGCATCACTTTGTGACTAATTTGGTTTGGTCCTGTTCCTAGTGTTCAGCTACCTGGAGTACAGTTTAGGCTGCTGTTTATTTGACTCTCCTCCCTGAGGACCACTCTTCTGTAGGAAAATTAAAGCTATGCAATGCTTACACAGACATTTCTTGCACTTCTGCTAGAGAACAAGACCCATTCTGAGTAAGCACTAATAATAGACAACATTGCAAGTAGCTGCTTGGGACTCACATGCCTGAGAGACACAATATTAAAGGAGAATTCACTGCTGAAAGGAGCAGATAGATTGCATTTGCTATCACAGATCTCTACTGTGTTTCAGTGATCATGCCACTTAGGTAAAGTGGGACTTTGAGAGCTAAAGTCTAATTAAAATAAGTGGGCGTTATATAACCATGCTCAGAAGGCAAATTTTCTGCAATATTCCTTAGTGACTAGAAGCTGCCTTCTTTAAAGCATTTACACAACTCAGCTCTAGCAATTTAATGGTTGGAAGATGATAAGGAAATAAATTAGATTTTGGTACACAGCAGTCAAATTAATTTCAGGGGTATATGTAAGGCTTAGCACTTAAGTCCCTTAAAACCACATCATGACCCATATCAACTGGAAGGTCCCAGTTTTTCAGGGAAGGCTGGATAGCACACATCACACAATTGCTTTTCAGAAGATGTCATCATGCATCATGACAAAAGTCATGTTTCAAGGAATGCCTTCACTCCACCAGGATATCCATTATGGTCAGGGATGCATTGCTGAGGTTCCAGGGATGCATCTGGCCCAGGGAGTGAATGTAACCTTCCTGTCTTTTCTTTTGTTTTAATTGGTTTGCTTTTGTTCCTTTCTTGATTTTCTTCCTCAAATAATTTCCTTTATTGATCTTGTCTTTTCTCATTTTTGTCTCTTTCCTGGTTACTTCCAGATTAGCACCAGGATGGAAGTCCCATGGGGAGCCCCACTTGGCCCCTTTCTGCTAAGTCCAACAGCCAGCCTTGGCAAAGTGAAGACATTCTTATCAGAAGCAATGGTGGGGAACATTGGTGGGGGGTCTGTTTTTGGTGTCACAGGTTGGTGATAACCTGTCACACTACTGCAGTGCAGGTAATGGTGCAGCCACTGTGCTCTGCCAGCCCTTCTCTGCCAGCCATGAAGGAGCCAGGTAAGGTGCAAAGACACCTAAGTTCACTCACTCTGTCTGAGCCTGGTTTGCCAGCATTGCTTCCTTAAGGAATGCTGCACAGAACTCAGTCCCCAGGGAGGGGGAGCCTGCTGCTATCAACCCCATCAAGGAAAATATATCAGCCTCAAATTAATTTCACTGTATGGATGAATTCTGCCAAGTTCCTGGAATTTTCACAAACCAGTTTCATCTACCCTTAATTTACTGATCTACTTTTTAAAATGTAAACAACTTTCAAATAAGATTTTATTGCATTTGGATATAATTCTTGTCATGTTCTGTACTTTTCTGCTTCGTTTCCAAAGAATGTTGTGATGATTAACTCATGCATTATGTGATGCCATGTGTAATGCTCCCTTGTGACAATAACTCAAATTGCTATTTTCATGCTATCTTCCTGTCTCTCACTCTTGTTTTATTTTTACTCTACCCTCTTACTCATTTGAATAGAAATATTTTCAAGAATATATTTCTGTCTCCTTTTGCCAATTGACTGTCAGCTCACAGTCTAGAAAAATGGGTAAGTGGAAACATCCAGCTCCCACAACTTTGCTTCCAGTTGCTACAGAGCTCACTTTCCCAGGAATTCTCCTGGACCTTCATATGCAGAGCTCAGTCACTCACCAAAACATCAGCAAGTTTTATAGGAACTCTTTGAATGTCTGGTTAGCAAGGGTTCAGCTCAAACAAGCAAGGAGCAAGCTCATAGTTTTACAACTTTGTTATATTCAAAATGAGATTCAGTACTTTTAAACCTTCATTCTGGATATCAATAGGAAAGAGAGCTTCTGGATGTTAACTGATCGTGGATGAAATGGAACTTATTATTTTGAATATTAATTATTCTTAACCTGAATAAAGATGCAGATAAATCCATTTCATTTTACCATTTGAATAGAAGAAATAGGACTAAAATTTAAAGTCCCGTAATTCTGACAGTGATGTAGGAACTCATATAACATGCATGGAGAACCCACAGCAATGGAAAATCCAGGAGAGAAGAAATAGACAGCAGAAGACATGCAATCAAGAGAAATTTGAGGTTTCTCTTGAATTCTAGTTGTCCTTGATCACATCAGTAATAACCTGTTACTATTCACCAACTCCATATCCCAAATCTGTGTAGAAAATGGTAAGAAAACTAAGGACAGGAAAACTCAGCTTTCAGGAGCAGGCATAATTTAATCACCTATTTTCCACCAAGTGTTCTGTGCACAATTGTCCCAACAAAGGAGAAACCAGAATAAAACCAGAAAAGTCCATGCAAATAGATGTTTGAGGTTAATAACTCTTGTGAGCCTATCCAGGGCTGGCACTAGAAAACTCTATCATTCCATAACAAGAAGTACAGTCTAAAAAGACTGATTTAGATTTTAAGTCCACCTCCTTGTGAGAGCAGGACTGTTCTCAAAGTACTCTAAGCAGTAGTTTAACTTTAAATACACAAAGGAATGGCTTTGCTCTTCCTTGTCTTGAAATCTACCCAGGTTTGGAATTCAGTATCCACTCCTCGGTGGCTTTTTGCTGTTCTCCACTTTCAGTTGCTATATATACAACAGAAAACTGAAATTCACATTAGGTGGCCCTGTATGAGTGTGCTCAATCAGTAAAAATGTTTCCTGCATATAGGGGCTCTATGGATGCAGCCTCAATAGCTGCCAGACATTGGGATGGCAAAGGCCTGTGTGCTTGTGTCTCTCTCACCACAACCTGATCACCTGTTCTTTTATCCTACCACTCCCACAGAGGGAGCACCCCAAGGAACATCTCCAGCCAGACTGCTCCTCCTTGCTGTCAAGGTCACTTACAGACATTAGGAGATATTCATCTATCCTTAGCCAGTAAACTGAAAGACATTTCACTTTCTTTGTACATCCTCATCTAATAATGTTTCTCTCTGAATTGCCTCCAGTTCACTGCACTGTTAATTAACTTTTATGCACTACCAGAGATGAATGCATCTCAGCAGTGACTTAAGTGATTTCTCTACAGCTTGTGTTTCAGTTTCCATTCATAAAACAGTTCAACCTATATTAGTCAAAATTGTCCCCCTTTGTAATATTTTTGCATTTCCATAGTGTCTCTCATTGTAAAGTAAAAAAGGACAGAGCAACAGAGGAAGTAAAACTTTAAATACCACTATTTGTCTTTGACTGAAACACTCAATTTGGTTAGGGGAAAAAAACACCATTCTCTGAGTGTTTGTCAGCTCTGTACTTTCTACCTGCCATTTGCATTATTAAACAACAATATCTGAGCCTTGCCTTAAATATCAATATAATAGGACCTTAGTTGTTCAGCAACATTGTTTTAAGCTGAAGTTTCATACAAAAAAAAAAACAACCCTAAAAAAACCCACATGAGCACTACAAAATGTGTCACTGTAGCAAGGTTTTCTTTAACAGCCTGCAAACAGCACACAGCTTTTCCTGCACATTTTAAGGACATATCTAGAGTTCACAAGCACTTTCAATTTTATCACCTAATTATTAGAGAGACAATTTGCAAGAGTAAACAGTTCATACACCATCTGAAGCTCTTAGCATTACAATGAACACGGATATAAAATTATTTTGTTACATAATAGCAGAACGTGTCTGACTTACACAAATGTTGAATCATTTAGAGCTTAAAGCTGAGGTTTCCCACACTGGTGGTCTATAGATTTCTGTCAGTGGTCTGCAGCTGAAGGTTTATTGTTGTCTGGGTATACAGTATTCATTCCCTATGGACAGTGGGGAGAGAAGAGATTAATAACAAACAAACTGACCAAGAAAAAATACTTCAGTTTATCAGCAGCAGTAAAATATTTTTTTTGCTAAAGACTGTAGTCCTACAATTTCTGCTAGGAATTTTTGCATTTGATTCTCATTTTGTCAAACATATTGTTTATACTGAAATTTTCTTTTTCAGACTGTTTCCTCTTTTCTAATATATCCATTTATGAGAAAAAACCTGCACAAGATGTTATTTATAGGGCATTTTCAACAGGAATTTGGGACAAAAAAAGTGATTTGTTTTAGGATAGGCTGAAGTATGTTTTTCAAACAAATAACATGTTCAACAGTTTTGGTTTGTCCTACTCCAGAAAAACCATGTCATATTTCAGTATACATCATTTCCATAAACAGTTGCTCAATTTGGCACAGTGTTATATATATGTAGAAAACACTTAGCCATGGTTTTGTCAGAACTGCCTCTGTGACTGTCACAGCTCCCCTTTATTCTTCTGTCATTGTTTGCTCATCTTATTTAACATCATTCATTCTAATTTCCATGCTAATAAACGCAATTTAAAAGCCACAGGTAAAAAGAGAAACCAACATGTACTACTACTACTACAGAAAAAAGACCTTCAAATTCTGTCTCAAAAACACATTTCAAATTACATTTTTTTTTAACCAGTGATGGCTAAAATCAAGTTCAAGAATACATTCAAGAATATTTGTTTATTAAAACATAAAAACTTTCCACTACCACAAAGTTAAGATTCAATTGCTCAACAATCACAACCAATTCCAAACTTTCTCAGGTCTAATGAAACCACTGCTTTATCTGTATTAGTTATCCAAGTAGTACAACTTGCACTGCAGGATATAAAAGATTCATGTCAGTAGAGATTTAAGCTCAGAAAAGTAGAACAATACTTAATGGTTAATGAACTGCATTGGAATATTCCTTAAAGCAATTTCTCTTTTTCTATGTCTGTGTTACACTGGGTTTTATTTCATCCAAGCCAAGTGAAAACTTAAAAACTTAAACAAGTTAGGGGTTTACTGCTACCCCAAAATTCAAGAAGAATGTGGTCATCCACATTTGTTTCACAGAGAAACTGCTTTCAGACAAGCAAGAAATTGTGAGACTTCCTGGTTAGCCCTAAGCTTAGAAGCAGTAATGAAAAAGAATAACTCTAATGAAAGCAGCAGATGAAGTAGGAAGAATCTTTCCAGAAGTGTAATTTTGGATGCTGAAATATACTGTAGTGAGAAGCAACCTGCATGAAAGATACACTGCAGTTCTTCCTAAAGCCTCTGTTTTGGTTTTCACCTAGTGAGACAACAGTGAACAATGGAACAATGGAAACAATAATTATACTGGCATCCCATGTTTCTGCTCTTTTAATAGTATTTCCTCTCAAATATTTAATTCCACAGCTGCATTCTCTGAATATTTTAAGCTTGATTATAGAATTCCTGCAACCTGTTTTATACTGTTTTTGCCAGGCAATAACCCAAAAGAATGAAAACAAGCTAATACTTGGAGAGGTGCTGTGAGCATACTCACATGCCACATAGCCTAGCCACAAGTACCTAACAGAATTCACAGTGCCTTCTATGAAATCTAATGCTTGGGAAAGCACAAAAAAATTGATTTAGCTATCAGTCTTTTGTCTGAGTTCACCACAAATTTTAAATTTCCTCCAGTTACCTTGATGTCCACAGGAAAAAAAGCTTGTGTTCAATTGACACCTTTCATTTTTTAGTTTCAGATTGTTGTGCAGCTCTTGGCTTACATGCAGTGGGGTCAGGTAGCTCAAACTTCTGGCAAAACTGGGGGTTTCTGCCAGATTTGATGGACAACATCATTCCTTTCAGTGCAAACAATTCTGTCTTCTCTAGCCTGTGGATTTCCTTTCATTGTCTATCATTTTGCTTTTCACACATACCACACTTATCCATGTATGTCTTCATCTAAGCATACTTGCATGGGCTACAAGCACATGTCCTGCTTCAACCTCATTCTACTTTTATCCAACATGGTGTTGTCAGCAGCTGCCTGTTGGAACTACTGTTCCCACTGTAACTCAAACCTGTTTTGGTGCACACAGCTCCCTGTCTCTGCCACCTTCAAAAATCCAGCATGTTCCTATGCTGGTTTATGCTGCCACAGGGATTTATGTAACCCCACACCAAACCATGTCAGGGAATCAATGTAGATGCAACTTTAACAAGCAGAAAAGCAGTGAGCCCCTTTATTCAACACTGCTGGATTATGTCACCTTCAGGTACTGGTATCACTATAGGATCAGCGTTAAAATTCCAGCTTCAGGAATTCTGATCAGCCCTGAAGTATCAACAATTAATGCTCTAAATACCCCTTAATATAGCAATCTTGTTAGAGATCACAGTGTCTGGAACAGGAATGCTCAATCCTCTCCAGCTTCATTTTATCTGCATGCAGTCCAATTTTTTATTCCCAGAACATGTTCTGGAAGCATCACAAGCATGTTGTCTCAGAGAGAGCAACATCTCTGTCAGTGCCTTCTCCAGTGGGGAGAGGATCCAAGACTTGCGATCCAAGACTTGCGATCCCTAGTTCAGCTCAACCTGGAACGCCTCAGGAGCTTCTCCCATGGGTTCTTTCTTTCTTATACATCCCTTATGCTCTCTGTTTTCCTTCTGTGAGCTGCAATTTTTAAACATTGTTTGGACAGACAAGAATCACAGGCTATTTTATTTTTTGATACTGGTGTAGATGGACAGAAGAGAGACATATTTTGATCTTTCTCTAGACTTCATTTTTTGTTCTTTAACAGGTTAGTCTCCTAGTTTAAATAGATAGACAGGCAATTTGAACTTGAAGGATCTGTTTTCTCAGGAAAAACATGATCACCCCTCTAAGTATTCTGCTCATGTGTAGTGATTCATACCAGGCCTTATGCTTTGGAAGGTTTGCAGTTCGAAATGTTAATTAACAGATATAGTCCATTTCCATATGTCTTCCTCTAAAGGTTACTGCAACAACATTTCCTGAATATACTTTAACAATTTAATGGCAGCCTGGCAGTAGTATCATGATAAATAAATTTAAGTGACATACAGGTTGCGGTGGAGAATACAAAGTATAAGAAAGCAATGTACTTTTTATAGAGATGTGACATGAAAAACATTGACCTGTGGTCCCAAGTAATTTTCATAAGACAAAAGCTTTCATGGTAATAAAAACAAATCAGTCAATGTTCTGAAAGACTAATATAATAAACCATCAGGGAAGCTATTCAGCTGTGTTAACTCCATTTAACAAAAGAGGAGTCATTATTATTCAAACTTTAAGTGCAAAGTTTGGTGACAACTTCAGCTGCACTATGACAAAGAGATTCTTGATTAATGAGAGATACCTCCAGAACTGGCACGGGGACTCGACATGGAAACACACGCTACCTTGCTGGTCATATTGAACAAAACCAGTTTGACATTAGGACTGGGCTTAAATGACAGGACAGAATTGCAGAAAAGCTGAAGTTAGTGCATGAAATATTACCATACCCAAGAATTTATATACTGACAAGTGACTAGAATATGAGGAAGATGAAATAGGGGTTGGGAGTGCCAATATTTTTTTTATGGGACGGAGAAAAAGAAAAGAAGAGGGAAAAAAGTACTTTTAGTCTAAACTGGATCTTAACAAATGGATACTACACTGCTTTTCAAGAGAAACAAAATTATGCTTTATAATTTTATTTTTGAGGCTGTATTGCTATAGCCACTGAGAAAGGGAGAAATTAAGTGAATTACAAGCAATTTGGGGTACAGGTAGAAAAGAATCACAGGTCATGATTACAAACTGTGCTTTCTAACTGTGGGTTCATCCTTACACACACACTCAGCAGACATCATTTTTTGAGGAGCTTAAATGTTGTAATGATTCTTTTCTTTATGAGGCTCACTCATTTGCAAGCATCTTTGGAGTTCTAGTTTATAAATGAGACAGTATTTGGAAATATCAAGTTACCAAATAGCTAGCTGGAAGTTTTTCACAATACTAAGAAGATCTCATTTTTTATCCACTCCTTTCCTTATCCTGCACTGAATTCTGGAGACTTTACACACTTAACAAACCAGTTTGGTCTTTATCTATGCCACAAGCAACTCCACCTAAACCCAGTTGGGATTTTTTTCCAATTGCACAAGGTCCACTCATTTATGTCAAACACAAACTGTCAGCCAGGACTCTGTGGAATATGCTACAAAAGTTGTGAACTATTTATTTGAGAAGGGATAAATAGACATGCATAGCAGAATATTCAGAATAGCAGAATAGCAGAAAAAGTAGAAAAAACGAAGATAAATGAAAGGAATGAGTTGTACAGGCAGAGCTGAAAAAGACATTACAGATAAAGATATGCAACATCTCTACCTGACTGACAAAATATAAGGTAGTCAGTCTATCACTGAAAGGGCTGCAAGAAACAGGAGTGTTAGAAAGTTGTTCAGAAGTCTTGTTCCTGCTGATGCAACATGAATGGCTAATTATGATGAATATAATACTGAGGTATTCCACTTGAATTCAGGTCTGCCAGGTACCACACAAACAAATTGGTAGACAATTTAATGCCCTGTCATCTTAAGATATGAAATGAAACAGATTTGAGGAAAACAAAATCAGACAATACCCCTGTTATTTGATCTGTGTTTAAAACTAGATTGTGAATAAGTCTTCCAAGACTTCCAAGAACAGCAGCAGGTGCCACATTAAAATATATCTTAATAAGAAATAAAGGACTTCACCCTCACAGAAGACAGACAAAGCACTCAAGTATTCTGGACTGCAGGAAAAATTCAGTCTCAGCAAAGATGAAAAACTACTATCCATCTTTAACCAAGTGTAATATTTAAAAGTGACTGCTCTTTAAAATCTGAATGGCTTTTCATGAGCAAATTTTAAATGCTCTGGTATTTTTTCATATCAGGTGCCTTCAAAAAATAAAATTAAAACACCATTGCA